AGGTTCCTCTGACAATTCTTTGAGATTCCGTATGAGTACATTTATCTTTTTGATTGTTTAATTTTGCACAGAATTGACATAATGGAAATGTTAGTTTTTCATCGCCAGATTTCCTTTTATTTTTAACAGGTAAAACAGGGTGATACAAACCTCTTGGTGGTAAAATTGCACATTTTATTAAACCATACCATTTTGAATTATACGTAGGAGGTTTGAATATTTTCGTAGGATGTCCAACTGGATAATCATCATAACATTGTACTGTTGGATATAAACTACAAATATCTATATATTTCATTTTCTTTCCATTAACTTTTAGTTTTGTAGCATTAGTTCTTCCTCCGAAGAACGCATTTCTAGGATTAAGTTCTTCAATTTCTGTATATTTGCTCTTAATTTGTTTCATTTCTTCTTTATATTCTTTAGATTTAATCCAATTGCATTCCCACATTTCTATTAAATTATAGCCAGCTTTTTTTATTTGCTCGCTTCTTTCTATTGTTTGTTCATAAAGATCTTCCATGGTTGTTTTATTCTTATTATTAATAAAATTTGAACTATAACATTTTGTACAACCATGCCAAAAACAACCGTGATATTGATAGGCTGTATTAGTTTCTTCATCAAAGCCATCAACTTTTGATCCACATATTCTCACTTCACCATCGTTTAATGCATGTTTTATATTTTGATTATGAAAACTATTTAACCAAGAAATTGATTGTTGAGAATATTGATCTTTTTGTAGATTATCAACAACTGCAATTATATCTTTCTTAATATATTTTGATCTACATATAGCCATACAAACACCAGCAATTGTAATGTATCTAAAAGGATCTATGTTAGCTATTTCTAGAAATTGTTTTCTTAATTCAAGACATCCTCTTCTTAATACATCCACATCAGAATTACAATAATCATAAAGTTCATTTTTAAAATCAAATAAATAATTTTCTTTTCTTTTTACTTCCCGAGCGTAAGCAAAGGAAGTATTGTAATCGAGTCCGTCGGCCGACTCTCTACTTTTACGTTTTCTCGATCTTTCATGACCCCTAGAAGACGAAGAAATAGGTCTCCCATTTCCGTCTGTCTGTCCGTCTGTCCGTCTGTCCGTCTGTCCGTCTGTCCGTCTGTCCGTCTGCCGTCCCGGATTTTTATTAGACAGATAATCTCCGAAAGTACTCGACCGATTGTGGTGAAATTTTGTACTTATATTAAGAATATCATGTAGATGGTAAAACGCTAACCAAAATTTGTCTAATCATCCCCACCACTAATGCGATGACGTCACTTCAAAATTGTACATAGTAATGTTGGAGCGACACCTAGTGTCGGCCGTGCGAGGCTCGCTCGTGTAGTCGCCTTCACGAGATGGCTATATTGCGCAGAGCGACACAGCGCCACTTGAAGACGCAATATTTTTAGACACTTCTGGTACGTCCGTCCGCGTGGCTACCAGCGCGACTATGTTACGCTCGTCGAATATTCTCTTGTAATGTGCCATAATGTAATATACGTTAGTAACCGATTCCGTGGTGTTTTCATTTCCGCCAACAGGTTATGGGCCCAGAGCGCGAATAAACGGAATCGCGTATATTCGAAGGTACTGAAGTGTGTGCACGTGTTGTGTTAAAGTACGCCGTCAAGATGAACGCCGGAAATTCGTCGCGCATCGAGTTGCTGCGGAAGGACAACTTCGATACGTGGAAATTACAAATGCAGGCGGTGCTGATCAAAGGCGACCTGTGGGAGTACGTGAGCGGTACTTGCGTCAAGCCTGAGGCCATGGGCGCCCATAGAAACCTTTCTCAGGGGGGGCCACCCTGAAATTTTTGTAATATCTGTTCTTGTATATATAAATAATATAATGATAGAAATCTTTACTATTATAAATATATATTTTAATCATCAACCACGTTAATCAAATCTACTCGCAAATAACCCTACAACATCATTATTCTTATTATTAACAAAACAGTGTAAAATATTAAAATTAAAAAGTTATAAAAATATAAAATTAATCAAAAACAAATTGCTAATTTCTTTTTTCTTGGCCAAAATCGTCAATTACTGTACCAATAGATGTTTCTTCGGCATTAACTCTCAAAATAATAACAAAATCCTGCCAATTTTGGATTTCGTCCGATAAATTGTCAGTGGAGTAAAATTCGCCCAACCCTTTAAAGCAACTTGGTTTTAAGTTATGTACATTCTTTGGATGTAAGGAAAATAATGAGTATGATGACACTTTTGTTTCGGAAACTCATGTCGTTAAGGAAATAATGAAATGATCCAGGTATGGAATAAAAGTGCCAAAATAATTTTCTATGCTATCTGTGTTGTAGTTCGCACGCCCACAGGTGAAACAGTTCTGGAGCAACCGAAATTTCCACTCGAAGTCGATGGCTACTCTGAAAAACCGCCATCAGTAGTAATAAATAACACCACTTATTTTATACTTCTTATTAGCTGAAGTATCATCATCAGTATTTGTAATTTTTCTCTTGAAGAAATTTCAAATATCTATATTTCTCTGTTTTTAAATAAAATATTAAACTTAAAACTTAAACAGACATTTAATCAAGAGTACTTAAGCTTGTATTTTTAAATAAATAAATAATAAAAAGTATAGTCAACAAAACGCCGGTTTAACAACTGCTCGTCTTTACACGTCACTTCACCACAGATAAAAAGTGAAAACGGATTGAATTTTTGGACGTAAGCAATAAAATGTTTGCTCTTGTATTGTAATAACTGTAAAAAGCAAATAACGAAACAACCCATAATTCAGTACCGGTTAAAAAGGATAGATTTATGATGTTTCCAGGCAAATCTGGGCCGAACAGAGGGTTTCAAAACCAAATGGTCTAAGTTTGTCACATTTCTGTGTTTGTGTGGCAATAAAACTGAAAGTGTAGGGTATGTACCTACTCTTACAAATGTGCTGAAGTTTAATTTTGACAAATAAAAAGGAAATTGACGCAGAATCTCAGGGGGGGCCATCGCCCCCCTTGGCCCCCCCCTATGGGCGCCCATGCCTGAGGCAACAGCGACGAACGCGGCGGCCATTGCTGAATGGGTCAAGAACGACAGCAAGGCGAGGTCGGATATTGTGCTCTCGATCAGTCCGACAGAACTGAAGCAAATAAAAAATTGCGACACATCCAGAAGCATGTGGCTACGCCTGGAGGAGATCTACCAGTCGAAGGGGCCTGCGAGAAATGCGACACTCTTGAAACGCTTGATCTTATGCAAAATGGACGATGGGGGCGACGTGCGCGAGCATCTGCGCGAGTTCTTCGACTCCGTGGATAAACTGAACGACATGGACGTCGACATCAATCCGGATCTCCTGGCCATCTTACTAATTTACAGCCTACCCGCGAGTTTCGAGGTTTTTAGATGTGCGATCGAATCGCGAGATGATTTACCGTCGCCGGAAGCGCTGCGCATTAAGGTCGTGGAAGAGAGCGACGCGCGCAAGAACTGCGCACACGGCGGAAGCGGCACGTCCGGCGCCATGGTCGCCAACAAAAATGGCGGTTGGCGGGATAACAAAAATGGCGGCTGGCGGGAAAACAAGGAGAGAGCGGAAGCTGGCGGAAGTCCCAACGGAAGACGGAACAACGGGGGCTCCAAACTTCGCTGCTTCAAATGCGGGCGACTAGGGCACAAGGCATCAGAGTGCCGGAGCAAGGAAAGGAGCGCGAAACACGCAAGGAACGTATGTTTGCGAATGAGTGAGCGCGAAGAAACCGCCAACTCAAGCTCGGACTGGTGCCTGGACAGTGGGGCCTCAGCGCATTTGTGCAATGATGGGGGCCAATTCACGAAGATCGATAGATCGAAAACAGGTATTTTGAACCTCGCGAACGAATCGTCTACCGCGACATTGGGTGTTGGTACGGTGCAGTTCGCGGCTCGCGTGCTAGGCGAAACAGCAAACGTTTCGTTGAGTGAGACTCTGCATGTGCCCGATCTGAGGACCAATCTAATGTCCGTGAGCAAAATCACGGACCGCGGACTCGAGGTTAATTTTCGGCGCGACGAAGCGGTGGTAGTGGATCCAGACGGCAACGTGCTGTTGTGTGCGGAACGAATAGGAGACCTATACTACGTGAGCGGACACAAGCATGATGCGCGCTCGGCTTGTGGTGAGGACAAAATTCCGCTCGGACTGTTGCACAAGCGATCGGGACACGCGAACGCGAGCGACCTCGTCGAGGCCATACGAAATAATCGAGTGAGCGGCGTCCAGCTGAAGGATTGTGCGGAGGCGGTTAAGTGCGACATCTGCATCCAGGGGAAGTTGTCCAGGTCCCCCTTCCCAAAGTGCTCTAACCGGCGCACAGAGCAGCTACTGGACCTGGTGCACACCGACGTCTGCGGGCCGATGAGGACGTCATCTCTCGGAGGCGCGAAGTACTTCGTAGAGTTCATCGACGACAAGTCCAGATGGTGCGAGACTCGATTCCTGAAATCGAAAGACGAGGTGTTCCAGGCCACGACGGAGTACTTGGCTCTCGTCGAGAACCAGACGGGGAAAACCGTCAAGTGCTTACAGTCGGACAACGGCGGCGAGTACACAAGCCGCGACTTCGACCGGTACCTCAAGGCGCGAGGAATTACGAGGAGGCTGACGGCGCCGTACAATCCGGAGCAAAACGGCACCGCAGAACGGAAGAACCGCACGCTACTAGACACGGCCAGGTGTCTCTTGATTGACGCCGGGTTACCGGACTCGTTCTGGGCGGAGGCGGTTAACACTGCCAATTACCTGCGAAATCGCCTGCCCACCAGATGCCTGGGTGGTGGAACCCCGTACGAGGCATGGACCGGTAAGAAACCAGACATCTCCAATTTCAGAGCTTTCGGCAGCAGGGTATACTACCTAGACAGGCGACCGGGGAAAGGGAAGTTCGACCCGCGAGGAGAAGAAGGCGTTTTCTTGGGTTATGCCGACGAATCCAAGGCATACCGAATCAGGGGTGGAATTTTGTTTCTCGACCGATAAATATCGGTCACCGCTAAAATATCGTAGGCTGCTAACGTTCGTCGACGAAATCGGTATTTTGTTTCTCGTGGGCAACCGAAGCGATAAATGATTTGACGTTTCGACCGCACCGATATTTTGTGCAGTGTTGCCACATATATTCCGATAATGCAGCTACCTTCATTATTGTTTTTTGACAGTTTCGAATTTAATTTAGATTTGCGCTTTTTTTCAAATGGCACGTTTTCTGCCTTATTTCGTCAACGACGACCGTAATTATTTACGGAGACTTAAAAGACGCGCTAGAATCACAAATGATCCTTTCGATTTGCCCAATCAACGGTAATAAAAGCAATTTTAGTTAATACTTATGTATTACACAAGATACATCAATTTTCCAGATTTATTGAATTATTTCGATTTGATAAACGTACAATGCGTGAGGTGATTGACATGATCGAGCCTCACATGATGCCAGGCCAACGAGGTCATCGAATCAGTAGGCAAATTCGAATTTTGGCAGCAATAAGGTTTTTGGCTTGTGGAAGTTACCAACGTTGCGTGGGACAGGACTGCTTCATTAATTTATCGCAATCTCAAATTTCTATTGCTGTTAATGAAGTAACCCATGTAATTGAGCGCCATCTGAACCATTTTATTAATTTCCCAAGTCAAGAAGAATACCCTGCCATAAAACGGACGTATGAAAGTCTCATGTTTTCTATAAGAACTTTTTCTCTATTTTACTTTGTCTATATAGAGTAATGGAACGTTTTAACTTGCCAGGTGTCATTGGGTTTGTTGATGGCACGCACGTTGCTATTTTGAATCCAGGTAGAGATCGAGAGCACCAATACCTCAACCGCAAGGGATACCATTCAAAGAATGTTCAACTTGTAACTGTTTTCCTTTATTATATTCACCTTTTCTAACTACCTTCTACACTTCATTCAGATTTGTGGTCCCAACAACAGAGTATATGCAGTAAATGCAGCACACGGAGGCGCATCTCATGATGCATTTATTTGGCGAACGAGTAACATTAACACCATGTTACAAATGCGTCTCACAGAAGATGGTGACAGAAATTCTTGGCTTTTGGGTAATCTATAAACAAGTACACTAAATCACTTGTAAATTTATAATTTTCCTTTCCAGGTGATTCTGGGTATCCTCTCATGCCCTACTTACTAACTCCTTTTCCACATCCACCTGAGAACACCCCAGAATCGAGATTTAATAATGCGCATCGTAGGGCTCGTTCTTGTATAGAGCAGTGCATTGGGATTCTAAAAGCCAGATTTCGATGCCTTCTGTCTGAGCGCGCATTACGGTACTCTCCACCAAAAGCCGGCACCATAATCAATGCCTGTGTGATACTGCACAACATTATGGTTGAGCGCGATTTGCCGTTGCCTCCGGAGGTTGATATTTTAAATGCAATTTACCAACACCAGGCCGACGAAGATGACGACCACCCCGACCATCAAATTGAAGCCCCTGAGAACCGAGCTGCTGCAGCGCAAAATCGTGCACGTATTGCACGTAATTACTTCCGTTAGTTTTACGCACAGAACACGACATATTCTTTCTTTGTTTTTTGTTTGTTTGTTAAATGTCTTAAATTATCTCTACGAGAGCGGTTCACGGTATCTACCAGCTCGTGTAACCGCGCAGATTTAAATAACAAAAATTTCACTTCTACAACATTGTTGTTAAAAGTGCTTTAGTTTCTAATTGTGTGTGCAGCAGAAAATATGCTCTTTAACTTTCTTAGCTTAATATTTATTGTTTAAAGACTCTTAAGATTAAACATTGCAGAAGATAACTTAACTTAATACAAAGGTGTAAAATGGGTTGCAGGCCGTAAGTGGTGAGTGATTGTTTTCTCTATTCTTGTACATACGTGCACTTTTTCTGAATTGTGTTTTAGATCTACTCAGGATTCATATTTTATACCTACTTGGTTAATTGGTGGTTACATGTATTCACAGACCACGTTTTCTTTAATGTGTAAAGGAAGCATTCGAAATGAATTTGCAATGAGAGAAACTACTACAAGACATTGGTGAGTTTACAGTTAGAAAAAAAAAAAAACAAAAAAAAAACGAAGCTTAATTAACGCAACATCATCACATCAATTAGTTCCCGCAACGCTTGCAAAATGTTGGTGTTGACATCAGCTATTCGCTCCAAAGCAATGGCTTGCCGTTCACGAAGAATATTGGCCTCTTTCTCTGCTTTGAGCAGATTTTCAGGTAGGGTTTCTGGGCTTGGACGCTTTCTTTTTCGTGAAGGTAAGGACAAATATGGGGATGGTGAGATGTTAACAGAATTCTAGAAATGAAAGGTATTACTGTTGTCAAACTTTGCATGCATAAATCAATACAATTGCTGTTTCTTCAGGAGGCACTGGTGAACCTGACATTGGTGGAGGAGAAGGAGGAGTTTCAGAGCCAGATGGTATGGCTGTTGGTACAACAATGGGAGCTTTGGAGCCAGATGGTATGACTGGTGTTATAACAGGAACAGAAGGAATATTCTAAAAATGAGTGAGTTATTTTATTTTGTATGTGTGTGAAATGTCGCATATGAAAGCTTAAAATTAAGTTAATTGAATGTGAATCAGTATAAAACATTTTTTTTTTTCAGGACTCCTTATGGGTAACAACCCATGTGAACATCAAATACGAAATACCTACTTCTACTATTGAAACAGAGGGAAACTCTGGAGTTTTCCCATCACCACAATAATCTGGGCCAATGATGCTTAAAATTCGGCACTCCATTTCACTTAAACCAGAGAGAGTCGAATCATTTGATGGCCCAGCACCTCCAGTCCTTTGCTGTTTTGCCTTCAGTTGTGCAGCTTTAGACTTAACGACTGACTTCCAGTCACTCCAACACTAAGTTTTATATTTAAAAATTTATAGGTAAATTGATTTTGTAAATGTATCATAGTTTGTGTATTACTGAAAATAGGGAATGTAGTTTTAAGTGGATGAATGAGGCATGTTTACATAAGTGAGTGTAGGAGTGAAGGTCTATTTTGTTTAAGGAATAGGAGTACAAACCCGTTGCCATTGTTTTCGATCCTTCATGGCACCTCCTGCCGCATTTAGTTCAATGGTTAGATTACTCCACAGTTTTGATACCATGGCCGAATCTGAAATTTGACCCCTGGCAAAAGGCAAATGGTCATGCATAAACTCCAGCATTATTGCCTTCTGTTGTTGTGAAGCCTTTGCAGTTCGCTTTGGCTCCATCTAAATATCAGAAATTCGTTTAAATATCTTTCTACAACTTAATTAAACTGAAACTGTTCTTTAAATAAAAAAATGTTTATGTTAATCATGTTTTATTTATAATATACACGATATGTTAAATAAATACTGCAATTACCTCGCACACGGTTTCAACCTTCCAAAAACAACGCAAATAAAACTTGAAAGAAGGAACACCACACTCGTCTGGTGCTCAATCAATCTTCTTTTTGGCGCCTTCGCTTGGCGTCGCCTAGCATAACGTGAAAAAGTTAGGTTATGTCATTTTATCGGTTGGGGGTTACCAACCCATAAAAATTAATACACCGATGCGATAAATATGAGAAACAAAATTCCGTTTTACGGTAGGCACCGAAAACTATGACGTCTCAACCGATATTTATCGCTTCGCTTCGGCTTCGGTGAGAAACAAAATCCCACCGCTGGTCACCAGTAAAAAGGACCGTACTGATAAGCCGCGACGTCGTGTTCGTAGAGGACGACAAGGAACGGCGTCACGTCGACAATCCTGCTCAGACCCAACAGAGCAGAGAGACTTCGCCGGAGGTTCGGCGTTCGGTCGAGATCGTGCACCCTCCTCCAGCTGGTGGAGCGCCGCCGGCGACGGTCAACGACCCGCGGAACGTCATCGAGGTCGAGGTCGAGGTCCATCGCCCCGCCGACGTCCCAGACGGCGTCTACGCCGACGGTGAATCGAACGATAGGTCGGAGCGGGACGTGACGACTGCTGAAGAAGATGACGAGCGCGACATCATCGACGATGACAACAATGCGGATCGTGCGAGGGCTCCAGGTCGCCCGAGAATTGTAAGAACAGGTCGACGTGGCCGACCCAGGAAGCAATTTCGGACGGTGCCGAATCCCGGTGCCAACATCGTCGATGCCATCGAACAAAGCTTCGTATCCGAGGTTGCAATGAAAAAGGCGCTGAGCGGTCCCGATGCAGACGAATGGCGACGGGCCATAGTGGCTGAGCTAACGTCCATCATCAAGAACGACACTTTCGCTTTGGTGGAGCGTCCACAGCGAGACAAGGTGGTGGGGAGTCGCATCGTCCTCAGAAACAAGTACAAATCGGACGGAACCTTTGAGAGAAGGAAGGCTAGATTAGTCGCCCAGGGCTTCAGCCAACAACCAGGTATACACTTTACCGAGACATTTGCTCCTGTTGCTCGTTTCAGCTCCATTAGGCTGATGGCTTCCCTTGCCGCCCGCCACGACATGGCAATTAAGCAGTTTGATGTCGAAACTGCGTATCTGAACGGCGAGCTGAACGAGGAAGTATTCATGGAACCGCCGAAGGAGCTTCAGAGGGCCCTTGGCAGCATCATCGACAACGAGACCGACAGCTCGACTGTAGCGAAGGCCACCAGTCTGCTCCAGGAGTTGCGCAAAGGCGATAGAGTTTGTTTGCTCAAGAAATCGCTCTACGGCCTACGACAGGCCGGTAGGAACTGTTACACAAAGTTGGACTCGACTCTGAAAGAGCTCGGCGCAATCCCGACGGCCTCAGACCCGTGTTTGTTTCGCCTAAAATCAGGGCGGGACGTGGTGTTAATCGCGATCTATGTGGACGACATATTGATCGCGTCCCGCAACCGAAAGAAGATCGCCGAAATAGGAAGAGAGTTGGCCCAACGATTCGAAATTAAGGCCCTGGGAGATGTAAAGCACTGTTTGGGCGTGGAGTTTCAGAGAGAGGACGGCCGGGTAACGATGCATCAGCGAGGGTACATAAAGGACGTACTTTCGCGATTCGGCATGTCTGACTGCAAGCCGGTCGCAACGCCGATCGATCTAGGGACGAAGCTAGAGAAAAACATCGACCAGAGTCAAGAGGATCTCGCGCTCCCGTACCGCGAGCTCGTGGGGGCGCTCATTTACTTATCATCGACTACGAGGCCCGACATCGCCTTCGCTGTGAGTCGTCTGGGGCAGTTTAACAACTGCTATGGCCCAGAGCACTGGAGGGCAGCCAAAAGAGTTCTGCGATACCTGAAGGGGACGATGAACGTGGGGCTCGCATTCGGAGCGGACGATGGGCCAATCAGGGCATTCGCCGACGCCGACTGGGGAGCGAGCACTGAGGACCGGAGATCGTACACCGGTTATGTATTCCTTTTGAACGGTGGGCCTTTGTCGTGGGAAGCGAAGAAGCAACGGACGGTTGCATTATCCACAACGGAGGCGGAGTACATGGCCCTGTCGGAGTGCGTCAAGGAGGGTCTGTACTTGCAGAGGTTTCTCCGGGAGCTGGGGTTTGACGACCTAGCTAACTTGGTCATTCATTGCGACAACCGAAGTTGCCTGCAGCTTGCTGAAAATCCCACCTTCCACGGGAGAAGCAAACACATAGACATCCGCCATCATTTCGTGCGCGATGTTCTCAAGAACGGACAAGTCAGGGTTAGTTATGTGCCCACAGACGATCAAGTTTCGGACTTCTTAACTAAAGGACTGTCAAAGCCGAAGCATGTGAGGCGCGCGAAGTCGTGCGGACTTGACGTTGTTGATTAGTGGACATTTTTACACGACCGTCACCTCGAGGGGAAGTGTTGGAGCGACACCTAGTGTCGGCCGTGCGAGGCTCGCTCGTGTAGTCGCCTTCACGAGATGGCTATATTGCGCAGAGCGACACAGCGCCACTTGAAGACGCCATATTTTTAGACACTTCTGGTACGTCCGTCCGCGTGGCTACCAGCGCGACTATGTTACGCTCGTCGAATATTCTCTTGTAATGTGCCATAATGTAATATACGTTAGTAACCGATTCCGTGGTGTTTTCATTTCCGCCAACAAGTAAATGGGTTTTCAATTGTATAAAATAACATAGTCCTACACATGTAGTTTACAACTCCGAATCGACTTTTCACCCGAAACGTCCAGATTTTTGGAAAAAAAATCAAAATTATAAAACAACATTTTGAAATTTAATTTTTAATCTGCTAACCAGAATGCTTTGAAATGTTGCAGATGTTTTAAGGCTATAAAGAGCATCATAAATCTTTAGTCAAAAAATATTTGCTTATCCCCTCCAAAAACTTGATGACTTCAGCTCAAAAGTTTGTGGAATAAATCATATCTAAAATGTACAAAATATGATGAGTCTGTACTTGTGATCTATCACTCCATTCATATTTTTTGGATTTGCATATACAGGTTGACTCAAAAAAATTAATGAATGCGCAAATTTATTTTACTGATTTACTCAGAAACTACAAAACCGAATGCTTTGAAATCTTGCAGATGTTTTAAGGTTACAAAGAGCATAATAAATGTTTACTCAAAATATATTTGCTTATCCCCTCCAAAAACTTGATGACGTCAGCTCGAAAGTTTGCCGAATAAATCATATCTAAAATGTACAAAATATGATGAGTCTGTACTTGTCATTTATCACTCCATTCATATTTTTTGGATTTGCATATACAGAGTGACTCAAAAAAATTAATGAATGCGTAAATATATTTTATTGATTTAATCAGGTACTACAAAACGGAATGCTCTGACATCTTGCAGATGTTTTAAGGTTATAAAGAGCATAATAAATGTTTAGTCAAAATATATTTGCTTATCCCCTCCAAAAACTTGATGACGTCAGCTCGAAAATTTGCCGAATAAATCATATCTAAAATGTACAAAATATGATCAGTCTGTACTTGTGATCTATCACTCCATTCATATTTTTACTTCCCGAGCGTAAGCAAAGGAAGTATTGTAATCGAGTCCGTCGGCCGACTCTCTACTTTTACGTTTTCTCGATCTTTCATGACCCCTAGAAGACGAAGAAATAGGTCTCCCATTTCCGTCTGTCTGTCCGTCTGTCCGTCTGTCCGTCCGTCTGTCCGTCCGTCTGTCCGTCTGTCCGTCTGTCCGTCTGTCGGTCTGTCCGTCCGTCCGTCTGTCCGTCTGTCCGTCTGTACGTCTGTCCGTCTGTCCGTCTGTCCGTCTGCCGTCCCGGATTTTTATTAGACAGATAATCTCCGAAAGGACTCAACCGATTGTTGTGAAATTTTGTACTTATATTAAGTATGTCATGTAGATGGTAAAACGCTAACCAAAATTTGTCTAATCATCCCCACCACTAATGCGATGACGTCACTTCAAAATTGTACATAGTAAATGGGTTTTCAATTGTATAAAATAACATAGTCCTACACATGTAGTTTACAACTCTGAATCGACTTTTCACCCGAAACGTCCAGATTTTTGGAAAAAAAATCAAAATTATAAAACAACATTTTGAAATTTAATTTTTAATCTGCTAACCATAATGCTCTGAAATGTTGCAGATGTTTTAAGGCTATAAAGAGCATCATAAATCTTTAGTCAAAAAATATTTGCTTATCCCCTGCAAAAACTTGATGACGTCAGCTCAAAAGTTTGTGGAATAAATCATATCTAAAATGTACAAAATATGATGAGTCTGTACTTGTGATCTATCACTCCATTCATATTTTTTGGATTTGCATATACAGGATGACTCAAAAAAATTAATGAATGCGTAAATTTATTTTACTGATTTACTCAGAAACTACAAAACCGAATGCTTTGAAATCTTGCAGATGTTTTAAGGTTATAAAGAGCATAATAGATTTTTAGTCAAAATATATTTGGTTATCTTCTACAAAAAACTGATGACGTCAGCTCAAAAGTTTGCCGAATAAATCGTATCTAAAATGTACAAAATATAATGAGTCTGTACTTGTGATTTATCATTCCATTCATATTTTTGGATTTGCATATGCAGGGTGACTCAAAAAAATTAATGAATGCGTGAATTTATTTTATCGATTTAATCAGGAATTACAAAACCGAATGCTTTGAAATCTTGGGAATATTTTAAAGTTATTATAAGCATGGTAAACTTTTGTTCAAAATGTATTTGTTCATCCCTCCTAAAAAAATTGATGACGTCACCCTTAAATTTTGCTGAATAAATCCTATCTAAAATGCAAAAAATATGATGAGTTTGTACTTGTGATTTATCATTCCATTCATATTTTTTAGATTTTCTTAAGAGGTGGTTCAAAAAAAATAATGAAGTCAATTTATTTTATTGATTAAATTAAAGGCAACACTTATTATTAGTATTACACCCCAACC